CCCACCATGTTAAATGAAAGGCGTACCGCCGGCATGAACGCATTAAATAAGTTGCAACAGAGACACATTAGACAACTCTTAAAAATCAAATTGTTCCACCATGTCTCAAGCGTATCGGTCCTTGAAAAAGCTAGCTGCGAGAGCGTTGAAGTCATGATTACTAAATCCCGCTTAAGATGGGCTACTCACGTATGCAGGATGCAGGAAAACCGCCTACCAAAATCTCTTCTTTGCGGTGAGCTTCTAGACAGTAAGAGGAAAACGGGTGGACAACTCTAAAGGTACAAGGATATTTTCCACGAACACTTAAAGTGGATAAGCATGCAGAATCAATGGGAAGAATCAGCGCATAATAGAACGCAATAAAAAAGAATTGTAAACTCAGTTAACAGCCTACCAAAAAGTAAAGAGGCAACAAAGTAATGAGATTTTTGAAAAGCTCATGAAACAACGCCTTGCGTAACCATCTTCCATTTTTTTTTCTCGCTATTTTAGACAGTGAATTAGCATTGCAAGTTGTTGTTTTGCCAAGACTGCACCACCCAGGGATCTAAAAAGAGTGGGAAAACACTAACAACACCCTAAAAAGGAAAAAAAAATAGAACTAGATTGTAGTAGTCGAAACTGTGATATTTGTTATGGTTCTTTAGTGCCTGGGTGGCTTGGGGTAAACTGGTAGTATAATAAGAAGCAAGGTTTATTTTTTTACTTTTATATTATTATTATATCAAATATAACTTTATATAAACAACAATGAAAATGTGTGAAGTGAAACATAGTGATATATTAAACTAAACGTGAAAGTAAAATCCCTCCAATCCCCCCAAGAACAATAAAAGCTTAATTTCATGACATAGTTAAACTGCTTATAATATACAGAGAAGACCAGGCTACTAGTAACATAGCAAGTTGCCGGACGAATTTACGTTTACCCGTTTTGCGTTCGTACTCGAGATTCACTGCCGGCTAGTCGGCTGGTCAGGCAGTACGCAGTTGCAGTTGTGCTTAGACGGGTCGGTCATGACAGACTAGGAATTCGACTCGAGGAGTGCCGAGTATTTATTATTTTTATTTTAAGTGTTTACCTTCACTTAAGGTAACATTTAAAATAAAAATACTTAAATAATTATTATTTGAGTGTGTTTACAAGCCAAAACTAAAAATTAATAAGTTCTCTAAACCCAAAAAAAAAAACTAAAATATTACTCTAAATAAAAAAAGTTATAAAAAGTGTTCAAAAAGACCATCTTCTTGTGCTAGACAGAAGCCTAGGCGGTCGTAAAAAATCCCCGTCTGACATTGGCTAACATATTTAGGGCTAATAGTTTGGAAAGCCTCGTATTTTACTTGAAGCTCATCCAGATTATTAGCCCTATTATGACTCACACTTTTGGATTTTACATAACCCCACAAAAATAAGTCATTGGGAGAAAATCTGGTGTTATAGCGGGCCACACAAAATAGTTCCATGTCTACTAATTAAACGAGTTGGGAAAAGTATTGTTCAAATATTCGTGAACAATACGGGCATTGTGGGCAGGACAACCACCTCAGCAATTTGATTACTTGAAAACGTGGGATTTTGATCCGCGGTAGCACAAATGAACACTTGCTTTAACTCCTGTTCTTCATTAATCAACAAATCAAGCTTTATTTGTTTTTGTGGGAACACGCACCCATGTGTTTCAAAATTATTAATAACTCTTGATACAGTAGGTAAAGATGCAATTGGCCTGTCTACAAAAGTTTTTGGAAAAATTGTTTGTATATCCCGATAAGACCTATTCTGGAAATACCATTTTACAATTTGAATTTTCTGACGAACTTCGTAAACTTCCATTATTTTATTTAAAAATAAATTTTACACGAGAACTGTCGCGAGAATCTATGTGTTCGTTTTGGCTATTAAAACACGAATAAATACAAATTCTGAAACATTCTTATCACATATCTACCTATTTTTAGTTTATCGCATTTTACCCTGCTTTTTATCCGGCGGACGGGTATACGCTAATTCGTCCGGTTCTGCCTATGTTACTACTACGGTGGTCCGGTCTGTATATGTATTATATGCAAGAAAAGTACACTCTTATTAAAATCCAATTAATGTTATAGTTAAATGATGTAATGGAAACCAATGAGTTTCTATAGTTGGCCAGTGATAGTGTATATTCCGTAAGCAATACTATGACACATTTTTTTAAACACTGTTATAGTAGAGGAATGGGTAAAGTAGTGTCCTTCGATAATATTTTCTCTGCGCGGTAATATCTAAAAAATTAAAAATAGCCCTTCCCACACAATATAACAGAAATAATCTTGAAGAAAAAATTTTATATCCAAATATATTTAAAAAACTTTTAGATTTTGCAGGATTCGAACCTATATCAGATACCATATGTTGATTTACACGCATTTTAGACCATACGACCACCGCCATTTTTTAATTATATAGATTTCTTACAGTTGTTAAACGTCAAATTTATATTTTATTTTTTAATACTTTTTTTTGTAGCATCTTTATATTTTCTAACCACTTAAACCCTCCTTAGACACCTATAAAAATGTCACCTAACCAAAATTAGCCAAACCGGTTCAGCCATTCTCGACTTTTAGCAAGAATACTCAATTAATTTTTTTAAAAAAATAAAATAAAAACGTATTAATTTAATTACACTATAACAAGAAAATTCATTTTATATTATTAGAAATATTTGACAAAGAAATACAGACTAGCTTGCAATTTGCTAAGAGAACATTTTATAATTTCTAGAATCATTCATTGAAGTAGACAGTCAATATTAATGGCCTGCATTTATCACTGGGAATTACTGTCCTTGCACTACTAATGCACCGTCAGGGATGGTTCAGTTGTAAGCTCTTTAAATTATTAAAGAGGAAATATGCCAAATGAGGTTCGACTTGTAAATATGAATTGGAAAATCTTTTGTGAAGTTCGTATTGCCATCTCTGCAAATTATTTCCAATGATTACTAATTATTAGAAATAAATAAATAAATATAAATAAATAAATGCCTTTATTGTCAAAAATTTTTTCAATTCGTAGACAAAGGTAAACTAACAATCAAAGTAAAAAAAACAAGGTACACAAACAAAAGATAATACAAAACATTATACAAATAATATTGTCAGTCTTATTGTTAAAATAAACATTATAAATGTTTATAATGTCAAAGAACAAAAAATAAAAATAATATTCAAAACTATTTAGCTAGTTTATCGTAAAATATCAATGACCTCTAAATAAATTCATTTCGATGTCATTAGTAAATACAGCAATAGCAAACATTAGACCAGTGTTTACAAGATCAAATTCGATTTTCAAAATATAATCCATTTACGGCGTAGAAAGCCTTGTCTAGTAAATAAGAGTTCAATGCTTTGCGAAATGAAAAAAATGATGTTATGGATTTGATTTCAAATGGCAGGTGATTGTGCATTTTTTTCGAGTTGTATAATATTGAACTTTTAACTAACTCTGAGCGTGGGGTAGGTTGATAAAGATCTTGCTCCGCATTCCTGAGTGGATAAGTGTGAGATGGCCTTTCTTGAGAAACTGATACATGTTTACGTATTAGGCAAACGGATTCAAATATAAATAAGGAAGGAAAAGTCAATATTTTTAATTTTTTAAAAAAGTCCCGGCAATGAGTTCTGCTGTTTAGTCCCAGTGTAATATCGAACAGCTCTCTTCTGGAGCCTGAAAATGCGGTCAAATTGGGTCGCACAACACGTACCCCAGAATGGAAGGAATTTTTTTTTCTTAATGCAAAACAGGCAGAGCTCAATTTTTTCGACAAAGCTTCGATATGTATGTCCCATTTCAGAGAATTGTCCACAACAAGCCCTAAGAATTTTACAGACTTGACGACGTCAATGGTGGTGTTGTTAACTACAAAAGGCTGCAACGAGTTTTTATACGACAAAGCTTTAGTTTTAGAAATGTTGAGACTCAGGAGGTTCGAATTTGAAGAACGTAGATTAGAAACACGATTATGAGGTTTTTTCGCGAACAAAAAAATTTGGATTTTTTTTTAGAAAATTGGATTTTTTTTAGTTTTTAATTAAAAAACATCATTTCTTTTGAAAATGTTCAAAGTAAAATAACTCGGTTATTTTCGACTTATTTCGAAAACGGCAAAGAGAAAATATGTTTTTTTATGGAGATCTACCAGCCCTGAAAATATTTTCACTTATTTAAGACTCACCCTTTATATAGGAAGTTCCGAGAGTGCTTCCAATCTAACAGAATCCCCTAAAATACTGACTTATTAAAATGCACTAGCTTAAATAGCGAGTACACGAAAATTGGTATAAAAAAATGGTAAATAAATGCTATATTTATATTTTTGTTATTCAGGGTGACTCTTAAATAAGTGTAAATATTTTTAGGAGTAGTATATTGCGACCCCAGGAACAGGATTATGAGTTTTTTTCGCGAACAAAAAATTTTGAATTTTTTGAAAAAAAATTTGGACTCTTTTTTAGATTTTAGTTAGTATAAATATTTTCCAACTCCACCAACAAGGACTATTTTACAAAAAAAATTGGTCGTCGGTTGAATTGGAAAATAATTATATTAAAATTTATGTTGGGGTGGGTGTATTTTTCACTCTTTCCGTACTTTTTCTTGATTTTTGTGAAAATCAAATGTTAAAGCACTTAGCAAAACACAGACATCCAAAATTTCGTTCGAATCGGAATAACGGTTCTTAAAATATCTAAAAAAATGTGTTTATTTTTTTAAAGTTTGATGCCCTCTAACGGACTAACGAAGCACTTTTGTATAAAGGTAAATTGTGTCCAATAAACTTATTTTTATTATTAGTTCTTTGTCCACGGAATATTGGGAAACCCTGTATATTATAGGTAAATTTAATACGGGAACTGACCCACAATAAGCTATTGAGGCTGCAGTGGAGTTTGTCTTCATACTGAGTCTTTTACAGTTAAAATAGAAAAATACTTTGTGATCTTACCTGTACGTTTTTAAATTGATGGGTACTACACAACTTTCCCAGCAGTCGAACGAGCTTGCCAAAAAAAGTGGGCGCCTCCATTCTCGAAGCCGACGAGACCAATAATTCAGCTTCCACTTCGTGACTTTCCGGGCCGGGTGAATTTGGTGCCGATCCATTTTCTCGGTTCGGTGGTGACCTTGTAATACTGCCAACCTGAAAAAGTATTGTAATATCATTACTTTTCTTATTGTACATAGATTATTATTGTACAAGAATCTAAAAAATGAATATAAATTTGTTGCATTTACATTTTTTTAAACATAAGTGACTGGCATAGGGGTTTTATTTCGTAAATGTTTATATTGAAGCATTCATTAGATATTTAATCTTATTCATATAATTTATATAGTTTAAAGGAAAGTTTTTGATCTTTAAATTTTCTAAACATACCGGGTTTGTCAAAAGTTGTTCGCCCCTATAACTATTTTATTTCTTCAGATAAAAAGAGATTTGGTATGTTATTAAATAACATAAATTAAGATTGATTGACGTATTCAATTGTTTTCGATTACTTCCCTGCTTCACCTGAAAATGTACGGTATTTTTTTCACTTTATTCGATAGAAATGGCACTGGAATAGAATGACATATTATCATATGTCAACTTTGACATTTTCTCTGCTTAAAAATCGTAGTTTTAATTTCAATCTAGAGTACCAATTGACCATGTTAAAAATACTAATTTTTAATGAAGGTGCCTTGGAAAAGTAGATTTGATCGACTAATGTTTTTCATGTCTTGAGATTGTTTTTGACGTCTTGTTAAAAGATGTCCATATCGTATTTTTAATAATTTCTTGGTATAACTGCATGTTAGAGTTTAAAGAAACGATATACGAAAATGTCGAAAGTTGACATGCAGATATGTCATTCTATTCAGAGTGTCATTTTCTATCGAATAATGTAAAAAAATAGGTAGGTACTGTGTTATTTAAAAATCAAAAGTTGTAGTGACTTCCGGTGAAACAGGAAGCGACAGAAAATAATTGAATACCTCAATCAATTTTGGTTTATATAATATTTTTTTATCTGAAAAAATAAAATAGTTATAGGGGTGAGCCACTTTTTCCCAATATAGAAAACAAATAGTTTTAAATACTGGGGACTTAGTTTTGTGTCTAATAGCTAATAGCTAATTAATAATCTAATAGCTCCAGAACATATATGGAACTGGCCATTTTCAGGCGGCTCCAATAAATATTAAAACAAAAGATAAAAAAGTTTTTGCAGTCTAAAATGTACATATTTTAAATACAAATATTTCTTGCCATAAACAAAAATACTATACATTATATACTATAAAATATAATTACATTTTGTAACATAGTCAGATTTCAAATTCATTTTTCAATTTCAAATGAAATACTGAAAATAACAAAAATGTTATGTTGCTTCATAAGCTTAAAGTATGTTTGAAATAAGATACATTTAAGTGTAGTAACCTATCAAATATTACGATTTATTATTACAAATATAGCAAAGGCACAAGTTTGTTTTCGATATATTAAATATTCAACAATATGCAACACTATGCGAAAACGCTTAATTGAGCAGTTATAACTTTTTGAAGCACAATTTGCCAATACCGCATAGAAGCAACTTAAGTTCTTAGTAAGTGTTTATGTTTTTTAAGGTATGATTATTTCATTAGATTTTTCATTATCTCTATCATCATCGTACATATTCAGATCTCTAGTTATATCAGCTTAATTTAATTTGTCCTTAAATATTCTGTGGCACCTTATGAAAAAATATGGATTAAAACTACAGAAAAAATACTCAAATAAATTATAAATAATGAGTATAACTATAGAGACAAATTTTGTTTATAATTATAAAAAGGGCGCCTCCATTCTCGAAGCCGACGAGACCAATAATTCAGCTTCCACTTCGTGACTTTCCGGGCCGGGTGAATTTGGTGCCGATCCATTTTCTCGGTTCGGTGGTGACCTTGTAATACTGCCAACCTGAAAAAGTATTGTAATATCATTACTTTTTCTTATTGTACATAGATTATTATTGTACAAGAATCTAAAAAATGAATATAAATTTTGTTGCATTTACATTTTTTTTAAACATAAGTGACTGGCATAGGGGTTTATTTCGTAAATGTTTATATTGAAGTATTCATTAGATATTTAATCTTATTCATATAATTTATATAGTTTAAAGGAAGTTTTGATCTTAAATTTTCTAAACATACCGGGTTTGTCAAAAGTTGTTCGCCCCTATAACTATTTTATTTCTTCAGATAAAAAAAGAGATTTGGTATGTTATTAAATAACATAAATTAAGATTGATTGACGTATTCAATTGTTTTTCGATTACTTCCTGCTTCACCGAAAATGTACGGTATTTTTTCACTTTATTCGATAGAAAATGGCACTCGGAATAGAATGACATATTATCATATGTCAACTTTTGACATTTTCGCTTAAAAAATCGTAGTTTTAATTTCAATCTAGAGTACCAATTGACCATGTTAAAAATACTAATTTTTAATGAAGGTGCCTTGGAAAAGTAGATTTGATCGACTAATGTTTTTCATGTCTTGAGATTGTTTTTGACGTCTTGTTAAAAGATGTCCATATCGTATTTTTAATAATTTCTTGGTATAACTGCATGTTACAGTTTAAAGAAACGATATACGAAAATGTCGAAAGTTGACATATGGATATGTCATTCTATTCAGAGTGTCATTTTCTATCGAATAATGTAAAAAATAGGTACCGTGTTATTTAAAAATCAAAAGTTGTAGTGACTTCCGGTGAAACAGGAAGCGACAGAAAGTAATTGAATACGTCAATCAATTTTGGTTTATATAATATTTTTTTATCTGAAAAAATAAAATAGTTATAGGGGGTGAGCCACTTTTTCCCAATATAGAAAACAAATAGTTTTAAAAAATTTTTCATTATCTCTATCATCATCGTACATATTCAGATCTCTAGTTATATCAGCTTAATTTAATTTGTCCTTAAATATTCTGTGGCACCTTATGAAAAAATATGGATTAAAACTACAGAAAAAATACTCAAATAAGTATAAATAATGAGTATAACTATAGAGACAAATTTTGTTTATAATTATTAATTATTTAATAATTTAATTATAAAATAATTTATAACCGTTAATTGGACATTAGTACTATATCTAATTGTACCATTGTATCTACCTATATTATTTTTAAATTTGTAAACCGTTCTATCAATAATTAACAAACACACAATATGATTAGTTACGTATGTTTAAATTATATCGATCTGTGTTATCGGATAGTCTATTAGTACATGTATGTGCTATATCTTTCTATGCAGACAATCATAATATAAACCGACTAGCTATTAATTAATTTGCTATTAATGTCCCATTTCAACTACTGCTTCGTACTCTACGTGCATTAGGAGAAATTTAACTTGTAGATTTAAGTCTAGTTTTAATGCATCTGAATTTTGTTTTTTGTGCAAAAAACAATATGGTGTCACGAAATTCGTAAAAAGTTAAAGAAGCTTTAACCACTATACGAACTCTGGAAGTATTAATCTGACAGCTACATACATAAAATTACCCAAGAAATTCGTAAAAACTATTTGGGTGCTTGAAAATTAGTGTTTTTAGAAAACGTCAAAAATTTGAATGCATGAAAACTAGAGGTTAAAGCAATAATTTTAAAATAATGCAGTTATAAGTATTAATTTTCATTAACACATGTCATATTTCATTTATATGACAGGTGTTGATAAAATTTAATATGTCAAATGTCACTTAAATTTTGCATCTTTGGGTATATCACTAAACTTTTCTACATAACATCTACAAAAACAATTTAATCTTTCCACTTTACAAATCACCGAGTAAATTACCATATTTTGAAAACTTGTTTTTGAAAATGACTATTTTGGATTTTAGGTAATTATTGGGAAAACTGGAAATCGTCCGATTTTCGCCTGTTGGTATACACCCTATTTTGAGGTCGTAAGATTACGAATCTGGAACTTTTTCCTGGCAGATCTCACCGTTTTTCAGAAAAACGTAAAATACTTTCAATACTGAATTTATCTCTATTTCAGCCCTATAACTGTAATAAATATAATATTATAGTTTATCTAAAAAGTCATACTTGATTGAGGATAGAAAAATGTTCAAAGTTTTACTGAAAAACACTTTATTAAACAAAATAACAAAGAAAATGGAAGAGAAGAATGGCGACCAGATGGAAGTTTGACATATCATATATCCTTCTTCTATGTAATGAGAGAGACAAATATATTCTAGATCTAATCTAGAAATTTGAAACTTTGCAACGTTGCCATATCTTGTATTTTTCGGATGATTAGGATTTTAAATCAATTACCTATGAGATCTCACAATAGTTAAATCTACTCAGAACTAAGTTGAAAGAGTTTGATTGCATTGGTTTCAAAGTCTTTGCGAGGGGATTAATCTTTTGATAAGTATAATACCAAAAAGATTAACTTAGAATTGATATTATTGTTGATATAATATAACAAAAAAAGATTAACCCCTCCTGCATAGAAGTTGAAACCAATGCAATCAAAACTCTTTCGTGCAACTTTGTGGTTATAAATAGTCAGATCTCGTTAGTATAATAATAGTTATGGGAAGGAGCTGTTCCTCTGGCGACCGCCCTTCGTAATCTCAGAGAAGGCGAAAAAATGCGCTAAATTTAGGTTTAGCATTGCACAACGTTAACTTTAAATGTCAGAAACACATAACCCGACATTTTCAGATTGTGTACAAATTTATTTTATTTCACTCTTTCCTATATTATGCACAGAATTGGTTAAAAAAGTATCAGAAAAATAGCAAAAACACTCATTATTGAATACCTAACAAACTATGTGTTAGAAAACCTTAAAAATTATGAAAAATTAAGAAAAATTGATGTTGAAATAACTTTTCGTTTTTCTGAAAAAACGGTAAGAGACTGCTAGAAAAAGTTCAGATTCGTAATCTACGACCTAAAATAGAGTGTAATGGAATACCAATCTTGGTGAAAATCGGACGATTTCCAGTTTTCCCAATAATTACACAGATTTATTATGGCATTTAATGTTTTCGTTCTCAAACCTAACTAAACTCGCATTTTACCGTATCTCTACTCTAATTTACGCTGTTAAATCCATTTAATCATTGAAAATTATAGCAATTTCCTTTAAAACATAAAATATCAGAATTTTATTACAAATTACCTATTTGAAAGATATTTTTTTCAGTAAATTCGTATGTAAATATAAAAGAGTTATATCTCTATCTCCCAAACAGAATTTGTTTTTCATCATTTATTTTTTATTTTAATTGCCATCGCTAAACCTAAAACAGGTTTACTGAAGTTCATGCTCTGTAAAACAAACAGTAATGTAAAAATGAGTTTTATGCCGGTGCATCAAGGCGTGAAAACCTTATGAAAAGGCCATGCAAAATAATTCATAACTATGCACCGCTTAAAATCTGAATTACTGGTTTTATCCGTTTTTCTATTTTAGTTCGTAATCTGGATAAAGTGAAAAAGTACTAACTACTGAAAAATTGTTGGCAAATTCCAACAACATAAGCTGCAGAAAATATTAATTTTAGAAATTTCTGTTAAATAGAAAGTTGCAAGTTACCTTAAAACTAATAGACAAGTAATTAAATTGAAAAAGTAAAACAGTTTTTAATGCTAAAAAATTGTCGACATATTTAGCAGGAACGTACATGTGAGTTATCACTGAATATTTTTCTAAAAAACATATGCGCCACTGTTTTTTTTTTCTCAGTTAACAAAATTGTGTAGATCGTTTAATTCCGGATTAATAGCAACCTCTAAATTATTTTTTAATGTCATTAACTGACCAAAGATAATAAGTACCTACTCATTGATTCTCATCCAAAAATATGAAAATAACTCCTACAAAACATGGGTGGGAAATGCGTTGTCTTAAAGTTACAAGATATTTAACTTTTAAAATATAGGTTTTATGTAATTATCTTAAATATAATTATTTTTTGTAATTTTCTATAGGTAAGAACTGAGCATCAGTGTTACAAATTTTATTAAAATTTAATAATAAATTCGATTATAGTTATTAATGATACAAGTTCGACACGAACATCATAGCCGAGTGGCTTAGTTACACAAAAGTTCGTATCGAACGTGTATCATTCAAAATTTAATCTACGACGCGACACGACCGGCGTGAAGATAGCCACGGTTTTCCATCCACGGTTTCAGAAAAATCCCAACCATAGTAAACATATGGCAACGACGCTTTTCGTCCGATTTCAGCCACATCCACGGTTTTCGGTGTCGAAACGCCTCATTTAAAATATATCTACAGCGACACTTTTCATTGACAAATATTATTAAAGATTTAGAAGAATTATATAATAAGTTAATAGAAATGGTCGAGTTTATATTTATATATAATGAACAATTATTTATGAGAGATATAGATTTAACTTTAAAAATCCTCTTAAAAATTTAAATTCTATCTAGTTCTTAGCAAAATTCGATACTAATTTATTAAAGGTTGTGCCACAGCGAGACCCTTTGGAAAAGATGTATAGGTAACTAGGGTACACTACCCTATACTCAAAACCATTTGCCGGTCTTTAGGGAAAGGGCCAGATTCAAAAAATCGATATTTTACATAAAATTAGACTGCAAAAAAATCGCCACCAATTTGTTAAGGGTTTTGCCACAACGAGGCCATCTGGAAACGATGTACAGATGACAAGGGTACACCACCCCGTATTCAAAATCATTGCCGGTCCGTAGGAAAGGGCCATACAGAAACCGCTGATTCTCCTGTAAATTAACAGAAATTTATTATTGCCGCTAACGAGATATCATCTGGAACGGTGTGGCAGATTTATCAGGCACCCCATCGCACGGGCAATCGATAGCTATCCGTGAAAGGGTTCGAAACCGTTTTCGGTTAACAGAAAAAAAATTGTACCTCAT